TGTGAAGGGTAAACAAAGGAGGAGGCTACAATGCTTGATAAGAAATGTACTCATTATCTTGCCCATGTAATTGTAACCCCTCTGTACAGTATGTTCACAATAAAAAAAAATTCTATTAGCAATGCTCAATAGTAAATGTATTCATTACCTTACTCATGAACTGTAACCCCTCTGGTACAGTATTCTTTACAATAAAAAATATATTTAAAAAATAAAAAATTTTTAAAAATCTAAGTTTAGGACAGAGCTTAGCTCTCTGAGAAAAACAATACATAGTATTTTTTTGTTTCAAATGCTAAAGCCTAACTAAGGAAGTCCCTCTTTCAGGACAAATAAACTTTATAGACCAAATCACACAGCTTCTCAGTTTAAAGTGTCTCCAGAGCAGGAGTGAGGAACATTCAGCCTACAGATTATATGAGGCATAAGAAATCATTTGGTTTGGCCCTGATAAGGTAACCACAGTCAGGACTCAAAAGTCAATAAAGCTAAGTTTTTTTCTTAGCAACATCAGTACCAGCTAAAATCACATGCCAAATAGCCCTTGAGGAGGAGAAGGGGGAAAGGAGTGGGAAGAGGAAGGAGGAAAGGAAAAAAGAAAGGGTCATACTATATTAGGAATAGCTATCTTATCAATGACAGGAGACATTTGCTTTCAAGTTAGTGTAGCATAAATGCTGTAATTGCAAAAGGTTGCTTAGACTATGTAGTAAGAGGCATTCAAGAGTAAAACAAGGGGCTGGGAATGTGGCTTAGTGGCAAGAGTGCTTGCCTAGCATGCATGAAGCCCAGGCTTCGATTCCTCAGTACCACATAAACAGAAAAAGCTAGAACTGGCACTGTAGCTCAAGAGGTGGAGCACTAGCCTTGAACAAATTTATAACCTAACAACACTATAAGATTGTTAAGTAGCAGGGCACAGGTAGTTCATGCCTGTAATCTTAGCTACTCAGGAGGCTGAGATCTGAGGATCACAATTCAAAGCCAGTCCAAGCAGGAAAGTCCGTGAGACTCTTATCTCCAATAAACCACTAGAAAACTGGAAGTGGTGCTGTGGGTAAGTGGTAGAGCCCTCCCCTTGAGCTGAAGAGCTAAGGGATGCACCCAAGCCCAGAGTTCAAGCCCCACTACCAACAAAAAAAAAAAAAAAAAAATTGTCAAGTTTACAAAGATGTCAGACATCTTGTACTCATATACTGTTTTGTAGAATGGGAACTTCTTTGTACAACTACTTAAAGATAATAATAAAAATGTTTAAAAAAAAAAAAAAGCTGGGCGCCATTGGCTCACGCCTGTAATCCTAGCTGCTCAGGAAGCTGAGATCTGGGGATCACGGTTCAAAGCCAGCCCAGACAGGAAAGTCTGTGAGACTCTTATCTCCAATAAACCACTAGAAAATCAGAAGTGGTGCTGTAGCTCGCCTTGAGCTGAAGAGCTCAGGGACAGCGCCCAAGCCCAGAGTTCAAGCCCCACCAATGACCAAAATAAAAAGTCTCAGAGACTTTCCTGCCTGGGCTGACTTTGAACTTTGATCCTCAGATTTCAGCCTCTTGAGTAGCCAGGATTACAGGCATGAGCCACCAGCGCCCGGCTTTAGAACACATTCTTAACATGTACAAGGCCCTGAGCTCAATTCCCAACACTGCCAAAAAATAAATAAAAACAAAACATAACTTTATTATCTAGACTAATCCTACATTTTGACTCTTTAACTGTTGCTTTCAAGAGAGGCATCATCTTGGCTAGATCCTGGTGGCTCGTGCCTCAGGAGGCTAAGATGCAGAGGAGCATGGTTCAAAGGCAGCCTGGGCAGAAATATCTGAAAGACTCCTGAGCTGGATGCATGGCTTCAGCTGTGAGCAAGCAAGCAGAGCAAGCACAAAGGCCCTGGAGTTCAAAGCTAGATACCAGCCGGGCACCAATGGCTCACTCCTGTCATCCTAGCTACTCAGGAGGCTATAATATGAGGATTGCAGTACAAAGCCAGCCTGGGCTGGAAAGTCCAAAACTCTTACCTCCAATAAACCACAAGAAAGCTGGAAGTGGCACTGTGGCTTAAATGGTAGAGCGCTAGCCTTGAGCTGAAGAGCTGAGGGACAGTGTGCAGGCCCAAAGTTCAAATCCCACAATCAACAACAATAAAAGACACTCTAGCAAGGAAACTATTTCATTTTTTTACTTATTACCACACTTGTAAGAAAACTTTCATAATGCTCTTTTAACTTCTCATTTCTAAACCAGATTACAGCAAATAACCACATGAAGATTTATGATTTAGGCATTAAAATCTCTCTTCTTGTCTTCCATTTGCCTAAGAATGTGAAGACAGACCTCTCAAGTGAGAAACTGGCTCTTATCTCTAAACCCAGGCAACAGGTAGCTAAAGCTTGAAGGTACTGTCTGGAACCTAAAGATAAAATTCAGAGTGCTATGTTTGAGATGTTTTGTTGACAATTTGCCAGAATATACATACCAATAACTCAGCAGTAGAATGTGTCCTCATTTCTCTGTTAGGAGCATAAGATGATATACTTTAGATTTTGGAAAATAAACTTAAAAGTTCATGTTCCAAGTTGGGGGTCAGTGGGTCAGGCCTGTAATCTTAGCTACTCAGGAGGCTGAGATCTGAGGATCACTGTTCAAAGCCAGCCAGGGCAGGAAACTCTGTGAGATTCTTATCTCCAATAAACCACTAGAAAACCAGACATGGTGCTGTGGCTCAAGTGGTAGAGCGTTCACCTTCAGCTGAAGAGTGCACAGACAGAGCCCAAGCCCCACAACTGACCAAAAAAAAAAAGTTCATGTTCCAGAGAGAAACACAATCTATATTTTCATTTTTTATTTTGTTTTCTCCATTTTTTTCTTATGTTGTTCTGTTGTACGTGAAGTTGTTGTTTGTGCCAGTCCTAGGGCTTGAAACTCAGGGCCTGAGCACTGTCCCTGAGATTCTTTTGCTCAAGGCTAGCACTCTACTACTTGAGCCACAGCACCAATTCTGGCCTTTTATGTATGGTGAAGTTTTAAACCAAAGCACTAGTGTATCTTTGAATCCTCAGGAGATTCTTTTTGTTGTTGGTGGTGGTGGTTGTGGGGCTTGAACTCTGGGCTTGGGCGCTATCCCTCAGCTCTTCAGCTCAAGGAGAGCACTCTACGGCTTGAGGCACAGCACCACTTCTGGTTTTCTAGTGGTTTATTGGAGATAAGAGTCTCACAGACTTTCCTGT